CAAGCATTACCAAGACCGAGCTCTATCAAGACCGAGCGCTAGTACAAGACTGAGCACTACCAAAACCGAGTTCTAGTACAAGACCGAACACTACCAAGACCGAGAGCTAGTACAAAACCGAGAACCTCCAAGACCGAGTGCTAGTACAAGACCGAGCACTATCAAGACCGAGCGCTAGTACAAGACCGAATACTACTAAGACCGAGTGTTACTACAAGACCGAGCACTACCAAGACCGAGCGCTAGTACAAGACCGAGCACTACTAAGATCGAGCGCTAGTACAAGACTGAGCACTATTAAGACCGAGTGCTAGTACAAGACCGAGCACTACCAAGACTCAGCACTAGTACAAGACCGAGCACTACCAAAACCGAGCGCTAGTACAAGACCTAACACTACTAAGAAACCGAATGCTACTAAGAGACTGCACCCCCACCTAAGACCGAACGTTCATGAATGGTAAGACTCTACAGAGGCCGAACTCAGTTATGACCAAGTGGTCAACAACACTCTCAGCGTTTTGCATAATTTTGCAGAATAACTGTAGAATTATGAACAACACCTAATTTTACCAAAACTGAATATTTTTCTCAACTTCAAATCCCCCATACTTGAATCATATATCAAATTACACCTATCCAAGGATACCTAAACCTTTCTAACATCATCCTAAAGAAATTCGTATCAGATTAAACTCCAAATTATGCATAATCACCACTCAATGACCAAACATCAATTTTTCACTTTTGACACATTTTAGAGAGGCTTAACGGTTCTAACAGGTCTAAAGAAACTTGCCTAGACTTTCCCCACTGACCAAATTCTCTCCTGACCCCAAAGTCTCATTTTCACCTCTCCATTTCCTTAAAACCAGAACCGAACAATGACAGAATACACCTCAAAAGACTCCCAACCAGTTCACAGATTTCAGCAAGCATAAAATCAATGCAGAACAATCAATCATGGAATTTCCCACACATGTAACCATCCAAACAACAATCTCATATACAAAAAATCATAATTAAATTAACTAGTTTCCCTTACTTTTTAGTCGAACCGAACAACTTCTATCCTTCTGGAAAATTTTCTCACAACACCAAAAAATCTTAAGAACATCTATAGCTCACAGATTTGTGAGAAGAGACCAACCAAAGGACCAAGAAAGAAATTAGAATTGAGGAGAGAAAGCTGATGAACACATGCAAAAAAAAATGTTGCTTGCATGTGCTAAAAGTTTCAGAATTCCACAAGACTCCAGGGAAACGAAACTTACTAGCTCTAAACACGAAATTGATCGGTGAGATAGAAAGCTCTTGATGTCTGGATCGTCTAAAAAGCTTATGATCGTCGATCAAATAAATCTCCAGTGAGAAAATCTAGAGAGAAGGGAGAGGAAGAGTAGAGAATAATGTTTTTAAAGAGATAGAAAGTATTTAGATAATGAACCGAGTGTTTTAAATTTCTATTTATACGATTAACTTATTTTAATACAAATTTTCGACATTACTTTAATACATTTATCTACTCTTAACAGGCTATTTTCTGAGTTCTTGATGATCACATAATTTAAAATGATATAACAAAATAAAATTGCTTGATGAAATTTTAAGTAACATGTTTTTTTGTTGATTAATGTCTGATCAATAATTCACTTAATTAATTAGTGACTAAACGTTTCAACATCAAGTAACGTATAGAAGTTTTTCTTTTTTTTCCTTTTAAGTTTTTGGCATTATTAAAAGGCTTCACATGATGAAACACCATACACGATCCTTTAATAGAAAGGATACGGTGTGAAGATTTTCTTTTTGTTGCATAATATCTCTAACATTAATTTTATTCAAAATTAGCTAAAACTTAGACTAAATATTTAATTACTTATATAGTTAAAATTTGAATTTAAAAATATTGATTAAATTAAAATAACTCTGTATGAGATTTAGAAAAAAAGTTAGAAAATTAAAAAAAAATAAAAAATTGAACCTTTTGGTTCTGTTGAACATGAGCAATCGGTGATCCAAAAGCACTTTTTAGTGGTGCCCAAAGTGATCCATTGCGTATGACTCGCATAGCAATTTGGGTCACAAAACGAACCATTCAAGCAGAAAGACCATAATCCACCAATCAATAAATATCATACAAAATCCGTTGAAAAATAATATTAAAAAACAAAGAAAAATATCTTGAAACTTTATCTCTTTGCCACGTTAATCAGGCCCCACGTGTTATCCACTTCTCTCTTTTTTCTTCAGCATTTATCATCAAACTCCCAACTTTTTCAGTAAATTTAGTACCCTCTTCTGGTGACATCTGTTCTCTTCTATGTTGGTTTTTCATATACAACACTCGATTCTCCAACTCCCATGATTCAATTTCTTTCATTCTTCTCCTTCCTAATTCCTCCTCTCTGAATTCCATACCCACCCTTTTTTTTTATTTGATCGTTTTTATTTTTACCCGTTTCAGTTTTACAATGATTTATGTGATCTGATTGTGTTGTCGATACAGAAAACAAGAAACTTTTTGGGGTGGATTTGATTGATTCTATTTGGGTTTATTCAATTATGATTGTCTTTTAGGTGTTTTTTTTTTTCCTCTTATTCATTGTTTGTGTGATCCTTGGAAGAACTTGGTGATCGAGCATGGCTTCTAGAGTCTCTTCCAATCTGAAATGTTGGCACTTCAGGACTCCTTATTATTGTGATTCATGGAAGACGCCTTCTTCTTCTACGCTACCGAGGCGTGTCACTGAGAGGAACAATGTTATGCCATGTGGGTTGGTCTATAGGTCAAGGAATTCGAGAGTGCAAAGAGGGAAACCGGTTTTCTCTGCACTTTTTGATGACTTTCACCAAGAGGAAATGGTGAATCTGGTTCAGATTGGTTGTTGTGATGAAAATGGTAATGAAATTGCTTGTGCTGTCTCTGATATTGCCCCAAAAAAGCAATTCAAGAATGTCTCGGGCAGAGGTTCCTCTGAGGAGTTTAGGACAATGGAGCCTGAAGTTTTGGAGCCTTCTCTTTTGGGAATCCAGCCTGAGCCACCTAGCTGGCCGGAGAGGGATGAGATTTTGAGACTCAGCTTTGAGAGGAAAGTGAACAGTGTGGAAATTCCTTTGTCCATTAGGATGATCAAGAAGAAGCTACAATTGGAGGAGGGTTTCAAAGAAGCTGGTGAGTTGACTGAATTAACTAACTGTTCTATGAAAAAGGCATTCTCCTCTATGATGTTTATCATGCATGAGCTTCAAAATCAGGCCTTGCAAACAAGGGAGACTCTGTGTGGAGAAGACTTAGAAAGTGTCATGGCCAAGCTAGGGAGAGAAATGGATGCTTCGTTTATTTGGCTCTTCCAACAGGTTTTCTGGAAGACCCCAACTCTCGTGGTCGATGTGATGGTCCTCTTAGCTAACTTCTTGGTGTTCTCTATGAATGAAGACACTGTCAAAGCAATCATTCCTTCCATGACCACAGAGGCTGTATCCTTGATCAACAACGAGAGTAAAGTACAACGTTTACTAGACGGTACTGATGATGATCAAGGTGAGCATGTGAAGCAAGAGTTGTCAGAGGAGGAGGAAATGCTGTGGAATTCCTTGCAAGAGGAAGCTGCAATTTTGCAAAAGGAATTGAGGGGTGAGGTTTTGGACCACGAGACAAGGGAGCAGTTTGTGGCCCCAGTATCCGTGGAGCTTGAAGGAGATCATTATGAGGAATATATCAAAACTGAGCTTTATTACAAAATGCATTTGCTCCGGACACCTCACTGTTCCCTTCTGCTGTCTAACTATGCACACTTTCTATTCGTTGTTCTTCATGACATTGATAGGTGAGTTCTCAACTTTGTGATAAAATCTGTTTGGTACTTGACGATGCTGCATTCTTTAGCTATCATTTTCATGAGTGAGAAAGAGAAAGAGAATAAGAGGAAAAACAAATCTTGTTGCTTGTTTATTCTCTATGCAGAGAAGAGTGCTTAATTTATGGTTTAAGTGAACATTTGAGTCTTTGTGAAGATTTATTTTGGTGTAGAATGGATTGAAGTGACATTTTGCAGTATTGACATAAAAATGAGGGGTTACTGCTTGACAAGTGCTCTGGTAGAGGGTACTGCTTGACAAATGTATCTTGAAGTTTCTCTCTTTATTTTTCTACAGGGTATTTTATTTCTAATTTTGATCTATATTATTATTATTGAGTACATTTTTAATTGATTTTCAGGGCAGAAGAGTACTACAAGCGTTCGGTGTTGGTGGAAACACCGGAGGCCGAGGCATTCATTCGCTATGCTGATTTCTTGTTGATGATAAGAAAGGATGTTTGGGCAGCAGAACTGAGATATCTGCAAGCATTGGAAGCAGATCCTGGCAACAGTTACTATTTATCAAAGTACGCCAATTTCCTTTGGAACACCGGTGGACAAGATACAAATAGTTTTCCTATAGAATTGGACAACTTACAGCTATGACAATGTTCATACGATTCATTACAGCTATGACGTTGTTCATATGATTCATCATGGCTGAGTAGTGGTACTTTTTGGTAGAATGATTGTTGTTAATGCGGTTTTATTTTATTCTTTTCCTTTGTTGTAAAATACTGTTATGAAGGAAGTGTAAGTGCCAACTCTACCTTCTGCCTTTGAGAATTTGAACAACAATTTCTCTATCACAACTTCAACTTTCTTGTTTGTAGTGATTTTGTATTCGTTTGTGGGAATTAATTAGTAGTTATATAATTTGACATGGAATCATATTAAGAAATGCAAAAAGTAATATGGTGTTAATTAATTACGGTATATTATGAATCCCATTTTCCAATATTCTTCCAACACAATAACGTTATCAATTGGGCTACTTGACTATTAATATAGATTCAAAATCTCTTCTGTGAACCTAGCTAGTCCCCACCTGTCTAAGTTATATGAAAGACTGGAGACGGATCACGTTAAAATCTGTATCTTAGAGCTTCATCACCCGGTTGTAATAAACCTTAATAATGTTGTAGAATCAAACTCTTAATATTATGAGAAAAAATCACCACAGGATGCTGCCTTGTATTACTTAACAATAATACAAGAAATTAACCTAAGGAATTTGATCAATTAGTGGCAAAACACGTGTATACGATCCAATATAATACAAGATCTGTGTGACTAACGAGAATGGAGTAACTCAACTAGCAACTAATAGACGAAAGTGGAACTTCTAAAAACCGTAAAGAAATCAAAATTCCAGCGTCACCAAAACCAGATATTGCGGCTATCGACGGCCTTAACTGAAGTAGATATCAAGGGCATCCGCCCATACACGGCAACAAATCTGTTGACGCACTCTGTTCTTCTTTCACTGTGACCTCCCAAACTACTGATTCCAGTCGATCCAATCTCAAATATTTTACCTGTTACAAAAAATAACAAATCGATCAAACTAATATTTGTATATGTCAAAACTGTCGTTTAAAAATAATGAGTGCATTTTCCAATTTTGTATTAACCGTAATGAACTTCACAGCACAAAACCAATTATTAGCATCAAACTTTACAATCAGCTACTCAAGACTGTGCCTATTATTAACCCCGTAAACAGCAGTGTACTGGCCAATGGCTTGTTAATAATACAAAATGTCACAAAACACCAACAACATCACGAGTTCAGGTGTCAAACGAAGAATGAATCGTCAAACTGTTTCAGTGATCACCGAGGGAAATTAAATATCTACGCTTGCACCGCTTAATTTCGCTGATATAGAAGACCCTAAACTTCCATACTTGAACTTCTCGGTTCCTTAATGAAATAATAAATGTTCTAATAAGCTCGAGATAGTTTCCATCTCAATTCTAGTTGGGTTAACCTTGCTGTATTTAGATGCGGTATGCTTTGTACACTGTAAATCCACACTGTCTACCATATAACTTGCACAGGGACAAGGGACACGGAGTAAAGGACTAATTTCACAAAAAGAAAAAAGATTTAAATACGGCTATTTTCTTTTGCTAATGATATAACTCTTTATGTATGCTATCAAGATAAGTAGTAGTTCTAGCATCAATAAGTAGCAAAATGCCAAAAAATTGTTTTCTTGTGCAATTTTGGCATAATAAAGATATGCGCGCTTCATTTATTGGCTCCCCATCCTCAACTTAATCACACAAATGTCAGGAAGGGGATGAATCCCTATAGAAAGGAAGTTCGTCACTAAAAGGACCATTTGCGGGAAAACAACGGCACTGTGCACTTTGAGCTAGTTATGGAACTTCTGAATTAAGCAACCAAAATAGAAAAATAATAATCCATGTGATTCCTATGCAATGGTTATAGAATGTAGAGTAGTTTAGTTTTTAAGTGTCTTCATCAGTACTAGAAAAAAAAACTCAATAAAACAATTTGTTTGATGTGAATCAATTACCTTTAACCCAGATGGGAGGTGCACCAGTAGCATTTGCAACAAGAAAAGACATTGCAATATCTTCACAATTCCTGGTAAATAAATTCAATTATTGAGTAAAGAATTAAGAAAAGGTGGAACCAAGGTTGAGAGATTGAAATCTGATTAAAAAGGTGATGAATAATTATCTATCCAGGGAAAAACCTGTTCTTGGTTACATATTCTCTAATTGATGAGGGCATCTCGTTTGTATAAATGTTGAAATACTTTTTGTGAAAGAATGCTGCCTTGGAGAGCACCATGCTATATGTACCCGTCCACCACACAGACCACCATCCACCATAGCTAAATTTGTTGTCATCATCTGTCTGCGAGCAAATGGAATAACTTGAAACATTACCCTCAGAATTTTTTCATATTTTTCCAGTCACGGCACTGAAGTCGTGAAAATTAATGAAGGAAAACTAAAATCTTGCAGGTTTAAGGATCAAACATTACGGCAATCAATAAGGTTCACTTCAAGTTTAAAGATGCATCAAACAAAGACTAGAAGGATGGATGAAGATTAATAGACGAAATTCCTTCTTACATGACAGAAACTGAGCTTTCTTTCCGTTTAAATTAGATACTCATGAAGAAAAATATAACAGGCCTCAAAAGCTCAAAATAAAAAACCCTATCTGAAAGTAAATTACACAAGATATCCAAAATGTGTTTTTTTTGCTGTTTCAATGTCAGTGGGAAGTCCCTCTCAAAATTGAAATGGATCTTCACACTCTAAACCCTAAACCATATTTTCACCAAGGTATGCCTTCTATATTTTGCAAAGCAGCATTTTGAAAAATAAATGTTACGAGTAATCAATGCAGTTATGCATGAAAGTTAAAATACACATTATTGACTTGCTCCCGCCTCCATTCAAAATTAATCATACACCTCCTCTCATGTTTGAGCACCAAAAGCAAAGGCAAAAAACATATTATGCGGGCAAAATTAACAGGGATAGTGAACAATGATTCAATAAAAAGAGAAGAAAATCATACCAATGAATCCATCCAATGGACACGAGGTACAAATCCAACCATCGTATCAGGCGCACTTTGCCAAACGTCAAATGCAAACTCCACTGAAGAGCAAGGAAATATGACATCGTCATCAATAGAAAAGACAGCATCTGTCTCCAAATCCTTTATTTCTTTAAATCTATTGTTCAAGCTGTCTTCCTTGTTGATGTCAAACCTCAATTTCACTTGCCGTCCATCTTTAGGCTTTGACTTTACAACGTGGTGCAGAAATTTTAAAAGAATATCCGAAGGAGGATTGGGTTCACTCCACACAATATGTACTGATTCAAGACGAGGACATGATGAATAATGCTTGATGGACTGCTTTAGCAGATCATATCTCTTCCACGTGTTCATTACGATAGAATACCCTCTCCTGTGAACAAAAACATTAAACGACAATGAGTCTATGATATCACAAGCTGCATACGCTCATCAGCCTTAATTAAAACAACAAAATTTAGTATAAAAAAACAAATCCCCAGACCAAATTTCACGAACATGTTTATCAAAAACATATGATTAAGGCGGTTGGAGTTCTCCAGAGCTAGGTTCTAGGTTAATAATAAAAATTCTAAACCACCAAACCCCAAATCCTATTACATTCACTCGATTTTCAGTTCAATATAGTTTGGTGGCTTAGAAAAATTCATAAAAAAGGTGATGAACCTAGTAATATAAAAAACTCCATACAGTACATGGTTATCAACCCAAATTCCATTACATATCTAATATCTTCATCACTTGACGACAAAACACAAGAAATGAATGAAGTGTAAACAATATTAATAGTAGTAGTGACATCAGGAAGAAATTTCCCAAACACCAACTTCTAAGATCCCAAGACCCAAAATATCATCCGTCTCTCTAATTTGCAAAAATTCCCTCAGAAGAACACCCAATCATTTTAATAGCTTGCATCCAAAACGACGATAGCTTCGCCCTCCTATGCTCTTTCCAAAATTAACCTACCAAATAAAACCTGCAGACACTCGTATCCCTTTCTTTATGTTGTTTTCCCACAAATACAGGTACAGGAAAACGACGAATATAAATAAAACGGAATCTGAGCAGCCAACACGTATATGGAAATCAAAGAAATGAAAACAAACTTTTCCGAAAAAAAAAAAGGAAAATCCGTTGCCAAAAACGAAGCGATCTTAATCGTTTAATTTAACTTTTGGAATTATCCGTATTAAGAAATAAGAATCTTTTTGGAAATAAATTAATGAAGTGAGGAGGAGAGAAAGGAAGGAAAGAATGAGAACCTGGAATCGGGGGAGCGAGGGGGAAGAGGCGTTTGGTTGTTCCATACTACGAAGGAAGAAGCGCTCGTAGAGAAGGCAAGAAGCGTGAGGGCGACGCAGCAACAGAGGAGAAGCTTGATCTTGACTGATTTAACAGTTGAGATCGCGAGTAGACGGAACCGCTGCTCTGTCCGACGGTTCCAACCGCAGCAGCTCCCTCTCATCACCGCCGCAAGGAATGCGTGCAGCCGAGGCGAAGATCTCTCGGAGACTCAGCGGTCAGGCTCAGCGGCGAGGCATCCGGTGGCGGAAGCGAAGGAGTGAAAAAAATTGAACGGATTATGTTATGTGTGCACTCGGATTGGCTCCGACGTGTGAAAGTGAAAGCTTAATGTTGTAGCTTAGTGATCGTTGGGCCTTGTCGTTGTGTGCCTCTGTCTCAGTCGCAGATCACATTGACAGGAATTGATGCCCGAAATAAAACGAAGAGAAGCTTAATAGAATATAACGAGAGAAAATGGGAGAGAGAGAAAGAGAGATTCGTTATTTTTTTTATCTTTATTTTTATATTTTATTTCATTCTCATTGGTTGGGTTCCGACATGGTATTTTTATTTTGGTTTAATGTTTTAATATGTTTCTCTTTTTATCTAAAATTTCAAATAGGATTTTTTTTTACGTTTTAATTAAGTTCTTATTTTTATAAAATTAAATTAAATAGGACATTTTTGTTAAATTGATAAAACGATGTTAAGTGTTGTATCACCTGTTATGCTAACAGTATTTGAGACAACACTTAACACTGTTTCATCAATTTAACGGAAAAGTCCTATTTAATTCAGTTTTATAAATGTAAGGACCTAATTGAAACGTCGAAAGAGAAATCATCATATTTGAAATTCTGAACGAAAACAAGAAGATCAAGAAACATTAAACTTTTATTTTCAATCGCTTCGCTCATGAACATACGTCAGGTGCTGCGTGGCACGTGGACCTTTCTTAACCGGTTGATTTATCGGACCGCCATCTTGTGGCGTCTGAGAGGGGTGGTTCTGCGTCCCTTCACACATTGATTTATACACGCAAGTATGGAAGATGATGATGATAACGGCATGTGAGTTGAATAAAACGAGTCCAACAAAACTTCGTTGCGGTGGCTTTGGAAATTCTTCATTTGACTTATATAACTGCGATTCTGTTCATCGTTACTAACTATCTGTTTTGTTTCCTACTTTGGTAATTAAATTCATTTTTAGCTCTTAAATGGTATAATAAAACTAAATAATTAAATCATAATAATTAACTACCATTACATCAGTTTAAGTGAAATTTATCTTAGATTACATCAGTTGAAGAATGATTAACTTTATGTTTTCCGTATTTATGAGTATTTATGGCAAGTGTTAGTAAGGATTGATTTGTTTTGAACAAATTAAATAATGATTCATTTGCGTCAACGTTTTGGTTTGAAAGAGAGTTTGTTTATTTGTTATGTTATTAATAGAAGGTCCACGAAATTAGTGTTGTTTGAAGCATTGGTGGAAGAAAATTCAAAGTTGGAGGAATGGATATAAATAAAATGGAAACACGGAGTTCAAAAAGAAAAACAAAAGAAGAAGCTTCATTGGATGCTACTAGGGTTGGTGGCACCATTTATAATAATATTTTCAGATGACCATTTATAACAATTTTGGTTTGATTACCGTACCCTATACCTATTATTCGATTGGATTAATGTATTATGCATTGGACCATTTTTGTCAATCATATTGCGTATAGCCATGAAAATAACCCTTTGGTCTTGTTTTTTTTCTAAATATTTTGCAACAATATAAATATATCTGAATTGACTTTTCCCTTTAGAGAAAATTTGAAAATAGGAACTTCTTTGTTTTATTTTTTCTCTTTGATTATCGTTTAAAGAATATTCTATAATGTTGTGATTTTGAGAAATGACTTTTAGACGATTAAAATTTCTTTGACAAACACAAATAGTACTAATAAGATGTGTGATATGATAAAGAAATACAAATACTGTAAATAGTTAGTTATTGCGTGCTTCGAAAAGTTGGATCATAATTTCTCACTTCATCTCTTGATTTTAATGTAAATAAAAGTTTCGCAATTATTGAAGTTTGCACACGTGGATGATAATGTATAAGCTGCAGACAACGATTGATAATCATCCCATTTCTTTTAAAAAATCATATATTTTAAAAAAGTTATTTTCTAAATAAATTTGTTTATGTCATTAATTAATTTAAGAGAGTAAGATAGTTTTGTTTTGTGGACCAGTTCTTGTTTATGTTGATTAAACCTCTTCTTCACAGCACTTATTTATTTCCATTCTATCACTTTAGTTTTCAGTATTACTTTTTTTTTAACTTTTTGATTTTGGGACATTTCTTTATAAAAGTAGGTTATTTTTTTAAGTATCTTGCGATGGAAGTGAAGAGTTGAAGAGAGCAAGAACGCCATCTCAAGACAAGAAATATAGATCCCAAAATGACATCTAATAGTTTCACATCACTTTGAAGTTGAGATTAATAAAAATTTAAATACCATTAATTGAAACATGACCTAACTTTTAGAATTTTTTTAATTTATTTTTAATATATTCTCAAAGAAATTTAACTTTACAAAGTTCAAACATTAAGGGTCTCATTTAAATGGTTTAACGTGACATCCAAAAATATATAGAAAAGACATACATATAATAAAGACGTCATCATGCATAATATAAGAAAGCAGTGAAGAGTAATTAGGATCACAGCCATCCTTAGAATAGTGTGAAATTGAAAACTAGAGTATTAGAGTTCCTCCCTGTAAATTACAGAGAATTTAAAACTTTAAATGCACTAAAGTTCTTCAAAAATAATATGAGTTCATGGAAATAAAAGCTAGCAAATCTAAGCTGCAGCACTGCCGTCCCCATCAAGAGTTGTTTCCAAAGTATCCTCCTCGCCATCTGCTCCCACCCAAGTGGATGATCATCACAAAAGGAAACACATTACAACATGCACAAACACAAGCAAGCAAGGGTGAGCTAATTAAATATAAAAAACATGCATCATGTCAAGCATAGAATCTACAAGAGTTATTCTCAAATCAAAACAGATTAAGACAGGTATCCTAACATGTTGAACACTAGACTTGACTCGTCCGGACTTTAGAATGAGAGTCGAGCTATGGCGGGTCATGCACCCGTGGTGGCTTATGAAACTTGGGTTCCCCATCCTGCCACAATCACTAGGTTAGTCCGTTCCGCGCCTTGGAGCATACTGGAAGCCTCCGAGACTAAGACCTCCTGCTACTCCTCACCACATGGTTCAATCCTCTCTATGTGAGAAGAAAGACCATTGGAGTTTCAGGATAACCCCCAAGACTGAGCTCCTACATTCATTCTAAACATACTTGAATCTCAACAAGAGAATTCACTGTGGATCACAACATGAGGCACCACCATGTAACCCCCTTGTGAGGTCCATGGAATTACGTCCATCAAACATACTTTGAAAATCACATACTTTCACTTTTACATTGCATACAACCATAGATATAATACTAATTACACTTGAAAAAACCACAAACAACTTAATAAGTCATCAAAAATCACATGAAACCATTTCATGTACATTAACAGACAATAACAGTCCAAGAAGACCTACTAAACAACACAAAACCCCTTAAACTCATACTTAGACAAGGAAAATAACTTTGAAACTATCACCAACAGTTCCGGAAAGGCCCAAAACCCCCAACACGACCTAAAGAACGTCCAAAAATGATATCCGGAGCCCCGAAAACCACCCAAAACTGTCTTGGATGATTTTCCGACGACAATAATCGATTATCATATGTGATACTCGATTATTTGCGAGAGCTTTGAAGATGATACAACTCTCTGACTAGAATAATCGATTATCAAGTGAGATAATCGATTATTCTTATCCGTTTTTGACAGCAACGTGATTTTACTGGTTTTTGTGCATCTTAGACGTATCCAAATGAACAATTTAAAATTTGTAACACTAATATTGATATGAAACATTATAGATGAAAGTAACCCCCTTGTGAGGTCCATGGAACCCCCTTGTGAGGTCCATGGAATTACGTCCATCAAACATACTTTGAAAATCACATACTTTCACTTTTACATTGCATACAACCATAGATATAATACTAATTACACTTGAAAAGACCACAAACAACTTAATAAGTCATCAAAAATCACATGAAACCATTTCATGTACATTAACAGACAATAACAGTCCAAGAAGACCTACTAAACAACACAAAACCCCTTAAACTCATACTTAGACAAGGAAAATAACTTTGAAACTATCACCAACAGTTCCGGAAAGGCCCAAAACCCCCAACACGACCTAAAGAACGTCCAAAAATGATATCCGGAGCCCCGAAAACCACCCAAAACTGTCTTGGATGATTTTCCGACGACAATAATCGATTATCATATGTGATACTCGATTATTTGCGAGAGCTTTGAAGATGATACAACTCTCTGACTAGAATAATCGATTATCAAGTGAGATAATCGATTATTCTTATCCGTTTTTGACAGCAACGTGATTTTACTGGTTTTTGTGCATCTTAGACGTATCCAAATGAACAATTTAAAATTTGTAACACTAATATTGATATGAAACATTATAGATGAAAGTAACCCCCTTGTGAGGTCCATGGAACCCCCTTGTGAGGTCCATGGAATTACGTCCATCAAACATACTTTGAAAATCACATACTTTCACTTTTACATTGCATACAACCATAGATATAATACTAATTACACTTGAAAAGACCACAAACAACTTAATAAGTCATCAAAAATCACATGAAACCATTTCATGTACATTAACAGACAATAACAGTCCAAGAAGACCTACTAAACAACACAAAACCCCTTAAACTCATACTTAGACAAGGAAAATAACTTTGAAACTATCACCAACAGTTCCGGAAAGGCCCAAAACCCCCAACACGACCTAAAGAACGTCCAAAAATGATATCCGGAGCCCCGAAAACCACCCAAAACTGTCTTGGATGATTTTCCGACGACAATAATCGATTATCATATGTGATACTCGATTATTTGCGAGAGCTTTGAAGATGATACAACTCTCTGACTAGAATAATCGATTATCAAGTGAGATAATCGATTATTCTTATCCGTTTTTGACAGCAACGTGATTTTACTGGTTTTTGTGCATCTTAGACGTATCCAAATGAACAATTTAAAATTTGTAACACTAATATTGATATGAAACATTATAGATGAAAGTAACCCCCTTGTGAGGTCCATGGAACCCCCTTGTGAGGTCCATGGAATTACGTCCATCAAACATACTTTGAAAATCACATACTTTCACTTTTACATTGCATACAACCATAGATATAATACTAATTACACTTGAAAAGACCACAAACAACTTAATAAGTCATCAAAAATCACATGAAACCATTTCATGTACATTAACAGACAATAACAGTCCAAGAAGACCTACTAAACAACACAAAACCCCTTAAACTCATACTTAGACAAGG